CTGTAGATGCAGGGCCGGCGCCTTCTAAGAAGCAGCCTCCTTCCAAGAAGCACTCCCCCCTCCCTCTACCCCCTTGTGCGCGTCGCCAGTTCTCGCCGTTTAAGGAATCACGATCCGTGCCATTGAATCCCAGCGTTTTTCCTCTGTTTCGGCCTCGGCGGTCTGTTATCGGGCCCTGGGGCCATCACAAACGGATTTGGGACGAATTGATATCCCCGGGGAAGCGGTCGGGACCCCGGGGACCGCACATTTAAAGCATCAGGTCGGAGAATGTCTGGGGGTGAGGACGCGGGATCTGGACGCCCGAAATGGGTACGGAAAGAATGGGCACAATGCCCAACAGCAGTTCTTGCTCATTTTGAACAGGACTCGCTGTCGGTGTCGCCGCGGCCTGTGCACATTTGAGACAGAAGGCCGCCTGCCCAACAGCGGCCGCTGTTGGTTTGGGACAACATTTGTTGTTGGGCATTGTGCCCATTTTTGTCCGTACCCATTTCGGGCGTCCAAAGGGGAGGTGGATAGTCTGGCCGGCTGGGGCCACGGAGTCTCTCTGATTTCCTGGCCCCTTCTTCTTCTTCTTCTTCTTCTTCTACTTTAAGCCGCTTCCCTTGCCCGCCCCGTCTTCCGCGCGCACTCCTCGGGCCATACCTGCTTTGTGCCCCCCCTCTTGGGCGCCCTTTGCTTGCACCCCTCGGACATAACACCGGCCCACACATGCGCTGTCTTTTTTTTGTCACTCGGTGTCTCGGACGTCCTTCTCGTTGACATCCAGCCTGGGCATGCGGTATCTTTATTTTTGTTTCCCATTCGGGGCCCTTGGAAGTCCTAACCTCTTCCCAGGGGCGGGCTTCTCATCGCGAGTCGTTTCTTTCTTGCCGTCATGCCTGGCGAAGGCCCCTGGAAGCAGGAAACGGCCTAACACCTCTCGTCGCGATTTGTTTGGCGACACGGGCATGTTTGGGAGTGCGTCCTTCGGCTACCAGAAGAGTGATCCCTCTCTGGAGTGACCTTCGGTGCGGGCCCACGGGTACTCCCCGATCGCTGAACGAGATGCGATAGCGGTGGCCAGCGCGCTTTGTTCTGACCGCCTGAAGCCGCGCACCGGAGGTCATCTTGACCTAGGGTCACTCTTGCGTGTCGATCAGTTCTCCTGGTCTGGCTGACGCAACACGGGGTCCAGCGAAAAGGGGGTGGTGCAATGGATCTGGTGCAGAGATTCGTCGGGTTGCACTAGCTTTGTGGCGTGCAGTACCTTCCGGTGCGCAGATGTATTGCCGTGGTATCGCGTGCGCTAAGTTAGATACAATGTAATTGCAGGACGGCCCACCCAGTCGATCTGGAAAGAGGGAGGGGCCTATCCGCGCTGGCCGGGTGGGGTACTCTGCTCCAGCAATTCTGCCAGGAGGGCCTCGAGGGCCCGAAAACGGGCCAGAGGGACCCCAAGAAACTTCCAAGACGCTCCAAGAGGGCCCCGAGAGTCCTCAATGAAAACTAAAGCCTTGAACAAACCAAAGGACAATCAACCATTGTAGGCCTCTTGGCGCTCTCTTGGGAATCCTCTTCGAGGCTTCTTGGGGTGTCTTGGAGGCGTCCTGGGCCATTTGGAGGACAACTTGTGCGTCCTGGAACGGTGTTTCGGCGACTCGGGGCCGTCTTGGACCGTCTCGGAGGTCTCTTGGGGTCCTCGGGCCCGTTTTCCGGCCCTCGCTCTCCCGGCAGAATTGCTGGAGCAAAGTACCTCCCCGACCGGCGTGGCCCACCGAATCTACCGGACCAGGCTCCCGTGGGAGGGGTGGGCCGTCTTGGGGCCATCTAGGGTCCCGCTGGGGGGCCTCTTGGGCCGCCTTGGGGCGGTATTGGGGGCCTCGTGGGGCGTCTTCAAGCGTCGGATGCCCGAGAAGGCAAGAAGGGCAAAAACCTTGAACACAACCATGGAAAAAACAACAACTTCACGCCTCTCGGGGCCCTCGTAGGAAGCCTCTTCGAGGCTTCTTGGAGTGTCTTGGAAGCCTCCTGGGCCGTCTGGAGGCCATCTTGGGCGTCTTGGATCGGTGTTTCTGCGACTCGGGGCCCTCTTGGACCGTCTTGGAGGTCTCTTGGGGTCCTCCTGGCCTGTTTTCGGGCCCTCGATGCCCTCCCCGCAGACTTGCCGGAGCAGAGTACCCACCCCAGGCCGCCCAGATAGGCCCGCCCCCTCCTCCAAATCGACCGGACCAGGCTTCCGGGGAGGGGTTTAGGGAGTTCACGCCGTCGAATCCCAAGGGGTCGGCGGACTATTTTTGAGTATGGTTTGAATATTTTGATTTTTCATCCACAATCCGCCTGTACGGGGATATGCCCGACCTAATACAAGACTCACTGTGGGCCAACCTCGCACACCTGGCAAACCCGGGGCCTCGGCCATACTGAGGGCTTCGGACGCGCTGTGCGTGAAGATCATGCATGCGCCTTCGCACGCGCCTCGCACGCCAGGAGAGGGGGAGTGATCGGGGGAGGGAGGGAGTGTCGCCGACTGCCCCGGGGCCTCGATACGGCCTCCGCGCGTCCAAAAGCTGTGAAAAACAGTCTGCGCCATGTTTTTCGCCGGGTCGCCAGAGGGCCCGGGCCCATCTGGCGGTCTCGGGATCTGGCAGTCGGAGGTCGCGCGGAGGCCTCGGGGGGGACCGCCGGAGGGGCCCAGCCCCAGGAAGCACAGGCATATGCCTACTATGTTGATCCTCGGCTTCGACGACGACGACGGGGAGGACCACGACCACGACGACGACGCCGACGACCACAGCGACGGCGACGCCGATGACGCCGACGCAGACGCCGTCGCCAGCGCCGATGCCGATGACACGGCCAACTTCTGCCCACTGTCCCCCCAGAAATGTGCCGTACAGTGGAGGCCCATGTCAAGCAGCACCCTGCTTGCCTCCAGGGTGCCATGGGTTTCTTGGGTTTCGATGGTTTTGCGACGGAGAGCGCCTCGGTCCCACGCCAAAGATTAATAGACGTCCTGGGGTCTCAGGATTGGGTTTCTTGTGGAAGGTTTCTTGTGGTCGGGCCCCTACTGTATCGTAACGTGCTTAATTTTAACATTCATGATAAGAATAATTGATTGCGGGTGTGATTGCTTGCGTGGGTCTCCGTGCCAGTGTAATTGCTTGCGTGGGTGTTTGGTGGTTCCTGGAGGTGCTGGGGGTCCTCGTTTCCAGGAGCCCCCTCCATCTCCGATGGGTCCCCTCGTCCCACTCCACTCTCTATTCACCCGTCCTTTTTGTCGCCCCTTCTCCTTCCCCTCGTGTGTCTTCCTGTTCCTTCTCTGCCATTTCTTTCTTTATACTTGGCTGAGCGCACTCCTCCCTCCCCATCTGTCTTCCATCCCGTGTCCTCCATCCTTGGTTCTCCGTCTTGTTTCTTCTTCATCATCACCATCATCATCACCACCATCGTCACCTCCATCATCATCATCATCATCATCATCATCATCATCATCATCATCATCATCATCATCATCATCATCACCATCACGATTATCATCATCAGCAGCATCATCATTGTCATCATCATCGTCATCATCATCGTGATGATCCTCATCATCGTCATCAACATCATCAGCAGCATCACCACCATCAGCATCATCATCATCATCATCATCAAGGTCATCATCACCATCATCATCACCATCAGCATCATAATCTTCATCATTATTATCACCACCACCTCCGTCGTCGTCGTCGTCGTCGTCGCCGTTATCCTCATCATCATCGACATCCTCATCATTACCAGCCTCAACATCAGCATCAGCATCAGCATCGGCATCAGCATCGGCATCATCACCACCACCATCATCATCATCAACGCGATCATCAGCAGCATCGTCACCATCATCATCATCATCAGCATCAGCATCAGCATCATTACCATCATAATCATCACCATCATCACCATCAGCATCATCATCAGCATCATCATCATCGTCATTATCATGATCATCATCATCACCACCACCATCATCATCATCAAAATCATCAGCATCATCATCACCATCATCATCATCACGATCATCAGCATCAGCATCATCACCATCATAATCATCACCATCATCACCATCATCATCAGCATCATCATCATCATGATCATCATCATCATCATCATCATCATCATCATCATTATCATCATCATCACCATCATCATCATCACCATCATCATCATCATCATCATCATCATCATCATCATCATCATTGTCACCATCATCATCAACAACATCAGCATCATCATTAACATCAGCATAAGCATCGCCAGCGGCATCCGCATCGGCATCGGCATCGGCATCAGCATCAGCATCACCATCATCATCAGCAACAACATCATCCTTCCTTCTTCTCCTCCCTGCAGCTTGAACATCTGAGGGGTGTGCTGGCTCCGAAGCACACCATCGGAACCTATTCGAGCACACATGGTAACTAAGGTAGAGCTTCGTAGGTCCGACTCCTCCCCAACCTATCAGCCCCCTACTGCGCTGGAGGGAGAGGCGGAGGGGGATGCGGAGGAGGAGGATGAGGAGGAGGAGGAGGAGGAGGAGCAGGAGGAGGTGATGATGATGCTGATGATGATGATAATGATGCTGCTGCTGCTGATGATGATGATGCTGATGATGATGATGATGATGATGATGATGATGATGATGATGATGCTGATGCTGATGCTGATGCTGATGCTGATGCTGCTGCTGCTGCTGATGATGATGATGATGATGATAATGATGATGATGATGATGAGGATGATGCTGATGATGATGATGATGATGATGATGATGCTGATGCTGATGCTGATGATGATGATGATGATGATGATGATGATGATGATGATGATGATGACGATGAGAAGGATGAGGAGGTGGAGGAGGAGGAAGAGAAGGAGGCTCCGCACTGTAGACGTTCTGGCTCAAGGTGCCGTCGTGACCACCCGACATGGCTGGAGCAGCTTAGCGCGACGGGGACACCCAGGGCGTGCCCATGGCGGCGAAAGGCAAGTTGGGCGGCCTTCGGGCCGCGCTCGCCGAGGAGCGAGAGCGGCTCGGCAAGGTCCTCGACCAGATCGACGAGGCTCTCGACTGCGTTGAATCTGGCGCGTCGAAGGAGGCTCGCTCCGCCCCCGTCGTCGTCGTTGCCCTCCAGTCAGAGCAGGAAGAAGTACACATGACTACCCACCCCTCGTTTTCTTCCGTTATGGTCTCCTGGGAGGGCCTCGTCGCCACCGTTGGATTCGCTTCGAAATTCTAGTCAGAACGCTAGCGGCATCGATACCTTTTGATAGCCACAGTCGTCGCTGCCGCCCAGCTGTGCCCTTCTAGGCTGCACATCGAAATAGAGCTCGGCCGGTTAACAGGTGCCCCAGTGGAAGGAAGATCTTGTGCCCCGACGGCTCTCCCAGGGACCCACGGAAGCGCTGGGGCACCCCAGGAAGCCCAGATCTCGACGACCAGCGTGCCCCTAGACTTCTGATCGTAAGATTTCAGCTCCTCGTCCTCCTCGTCCTCCTCCTCGTCCTCGTCCTCGTCCTCGTCGTCCTCCTTCTCCTCCTCCTCGTCAAGCTCCTCCTCCTCCTCCTCCTCCTCCTCGTCCTCCTCGTCCTCCTCCGCATCCTCACCCCGGTATCTGTCCATAGCAGACCTCCTCGTCCTCCCGCCCCCGAGGGTCTCACGATCTGCGTCTGCCCCCTGCGTGCGCCAGCGCACGATGGGCTGCGCGGCGCGCGCCGCCCTCGACCTCTGCAGCTCGCTGTCGTGGGCCGCTCGAGGCAGGGACCTCATGGCACGCCTGCGCGCGCGAGCAGGGCACGGCACGGACAGCGCGTAATGCCGAGTCTTCCTCGTCCTCTTCCTCCTCTTCCTCCTTGTCTTCACTGGCCCGTTGCCCCCCCCAGGGGCCGTTGCCCGGGCGGCGTAATGATGTCCCCCTGCACCCTGGGGGGGAGGCGAGGGGAGGGACGAGAGGAGGCCTCATCTCGACACCTGGTTGGAGGAAGAGGAAAGGTGAGGGAGGGTAGTGCCGCAGTGGCGTGGCTTGACAAGTGAGACGAGGAAGAGGAGGGAGGGTAGTACCGCAGTGGCGTGGGCAGTGGGCTGCGTGTGGCGTTTGCTGTTAAGTTTGGGCCCTGGCCACGCTCGCCCAGAGGCGGGATGGCGCAAGGACCTCTCCCCTGCCATTAAGACCCCCCCAGCCCGCTCCTTCTCCTCCTTCTCCTTTTTCTTTTGTCGCTTATAGCAGAAATGTGGAATCGTCTGCTAGGTTTTGGCGGCTCTCCCTTCGGAGTAGGACGGCAAACATGCCGCCCGGTCCGCTGCGGCGAGTGTATGCCCGTTGCCCCAGCAGAGTGGCAATGTGACGCACCTTCTGTGGCAGGTGACCGCGCCCGAATAGCACACACTCCTCCTTCTCTCCTCCTCCTCCTCCTCCTCTCCTCCTCCTCCTCTCCTCCGCCCCTCTCCTCCTCTTCCTCCTCCTCCGCACCCTCTCCTCCTCCTCCACCTCCTCCTCCACCTCCTCCCCCTCCTCCTCCTCCTCCTCCTCCTCCTCCTCCTCCTCCTCCTTCTCCCGCCCCTCCCCCAGTTGCCGCAGCATGAGGGCGACCTCCCGGCGGCGGTGCCCACGATGCGCGAGGCCGCGCAGGCAGGGCGCCGCGTCGCACCGGACAGGAGCCGGGCCGTCTGCAGACCAGGGGGGGACGGGGGGGGGCCGAGGGTCTGTAGAGGGGTCTGTGGCTCGGGGGAGGAGGAGGAGGAGGAGGAGGAGGAGGAGGAGGAGGAAGGAGGAGGAGGAGGCGGAGGAGGAGGAAGCGGAGGATGAGGGAGGGCAAGGAGCAGGAGCAGGAGCAGGAGCAGGAGAGGAGGAGGAGGAGGAGGAGGAGGAGGAGGAGAGAGGAAGAGGAGGGGGAGAGGAGGAGGAGGAGGAGGAGGAGGAGGAGGAGCAGGGAGGAAGGAGGAGGAGGAGGAGGGAGGAGGAGGAGGAGGGAGGAGGAGGAGGAGGGGAGGAGGAGGAGGAGGTAAGCGGAGGAGGAGGAGGAGGAGGAGGAGGGAGGAGAGGAGGAGGAGGTGCAGGGGAGTAGGAGGAGGAGGAGGTGGAGGCGGGAGGAGGAGGAGGAGGTGGATGAGGGGAGGAGGAGGAGGAGGGGCGGGCGGAGGAAGGAGGGGGGAGGAGGGAGGAGGGAGGAGGGAGGAGGGAGGAGGGAGGAGTGAGGAGGGGAGGAGGGGGAGGGAGGAGGGCGGAGGGAAAAGCAGGGAGCAGGGAAGCAGGGAGGAGGGTAGGGGGATGGAGGGATTGAGGGAGGAGGGAGGTGGGAGGAATGGACGAGGAGGGAGGAGGGAGGAGGGAGGGAGGGGGGAGGGAAAGAGGGAGGAGGGAGGGGGGAGGGAGGAAGAGGGAGGAAGGAGGAGGAGGCGATCGAGGATCGGTACGGATGGGCGGGGGGATGGCTTGGGCCCCCCCCCCCCAATGCTGATGCCATTGGGCCCCCCCCCCGCGCGATGGTCCCCCCGCCCCCCCCTGTGGGCGTGGCGTGGTGCTGCGCTGCGGTGCCCCCCCCCCTGTGGATGTGGTGTGGTGCTGTGGTGGTTCAGAGGTGGGCGTGGCGTGGTGCTGCGCTGCGGTGCCCCCCTCCCCCCCCCTGTGGATGTGGTGTGGTGCTGTGGTGGTTCAGAGGTCGTCGTCGTCGTCGTCGTCGTCGTCGTCGTCCTCGTCGTCCTCGTCGTCCTCGTCGTCGTCGTCGTCGTCGTCATCGTCGTCGTCGCCGTCGTCATCATCATCGTCGTCGTTCGTCGCCGCCGCCGCCGGCGTCGTCGCCGCCGCAGCCGTCGTCGTCGTCGTGGTCGTCGTCGTCGTCGTCGTCGTCGTCGTCGTTGTCGTCGTGGTCGTCGTCGTCGTCGTCGCCGTCGTCGTAGTCATCGCCGTCGTCGTCGTCGTCGCCGTCGTCGTAGTCGTCGCCGTCGTCGTCGTCGTCGTCGTCGTCGTCGTCGTCGTCTCTGGGACCACACTCTAGATTTCGTAATAAAAGGGAGGGGGTCACAACCCTCCCAGACAAGAAGTTTTAGACCCCCCCAGACTATCCATGAAAGGGCGGCCCTTTGCCCAGACCCCCCCGAACCCTCCAAGACAGCTCAAATCAGACCCCCCCCAAATGTGACCCCCCCCTCTTTATTATGGAATCCGGAGTACCATCTGGGGGGGGGGTGGCGAGGAATCCTGGGACCATACCATCTGGGGGGGGGGGCCCGTGGGCCCCGAGCCCGGGACCATATATCCGTTCCAGAGCGTTCCGGAACGCTCTGAGAAGGCCGCAGCGCCAGATGATCATCATCCAGAGCCGACGGATCTCAGAGATTCTCGATGTATTCACCCCTGGATTTGATCTTCGTCCTGGCTTCGTCTCAATGGAAAGAGTGGGTCACCGCGAGAGGTGTTTGATGCTGCACCCCCCCTCTCCCCTCCCAAAGCTCTTGGCTGGCAAGAAGCTCCGTGCGTCCTGCCCTGAGTTCGCCCTGTCCTTTTCCTCCTCCTCCTCCTCCTCCTTCCTGCTCCTCCTGCCCCTCCTCCCCCTCTCTTCTGCCGTCGCGGGCGGCGACGGCGGCGGCGGCGGAATAATCATTTGCCGAGGATTGTTGGGTGTCGTATCCTTCAGTCAGCGCCCTGGAGAAATGGCTTATAAAAATGGGGAGATATTAAACACCTCTCGCGAGTACAACGACCAACAGCTTCTCCGGTCCTTTTTGAACAGGAATCGTTGTCGATGTCGCCGCGGGCGCTGCCCATTTCAGACAGAAGGCAGCATGCTCAACTGCGGCCGATGTCGGTGTGGACAACACTGGCCGGGAGCCCCCTTGAGGGTACCTCATGCGCCGCCCAGTGCCGATCCAAGAGATCCGCGCGGACCTCTGAGAGTTTCTCCTTTTGCTGTTGTTTCTTTTTCTAGGCCCACCCGCGGGTGGCCAGGGGGTCGCGAAGGCGCCTTTCTTCAGGGCGGCCCCTGGGGTCCGACGTCGCGGAGACTCCATGCCTCCCAGATGGGGTCGGAGCAGCTGGGGTCAGAGGATCGCGCCGCATCGCCGATGCATCGGCGATGCGGCTCGATGTGGAACCCGTTCTCATCGACTCCGATGGCACTGATGCATCCGCCGACGTCGTCACTGCAGTACCGATGCATCGGCGATGCACCGCGATCCTCCAATCCCATCTACTCTTAAGTCGGGCCTGTCCCTCTACAGGAGGGATATTCAAAAATAGTAAAACATAGTATGGGGATTGTGTTTCTGATTGTTTTTTGGACTATTTTGGAGTATCTTTTGAGTTTTTTTTGTTTGTTTGAATTTTTCATCGAAAATCCCCCTGTAGGGGGACACGCCCGACTTAGGTCTACTCGGGCCCCATTCGGGAGGCCTCGAGGGACGCTGAGTCACCGGCAAGAATCACGGCCGGAGCCGTGGGCCCCGCCTTCCCGCGGCACGCCTCGGGCCAGAGATCGGTCCGCGCGAGGGCCCCAGGGCCAGACGAGCGCCCGGTGCGGAGGAGTCTGCGCCGCCCAGGTCTCGGGCCCCGCGCGAGGGTGCGAAGAGGCCTCCGCGTCGCGCTGCGCATCGCTCACCGTGGCTCGCGGTGCGCGTGGCCCACGGTCGGAGGAGGAGGAGGTACTGCTGCCGCCACCCCTGGCCTCGTTTGCGCCTGTTCGGGCCTCTCGGGAGACCCTCGTCGCCACCGGCTGGATTCGCCTCGAAGTTCTGGTCGGAGCGCAGCCTGGGAGAGGTCCGTGGAGTTGCAGCGGTCGGGAGCCTTGAGACGGGGGTCGATGCAAACGGTGGTCAGCCAGAGCGCTGGATCTTGCATGATATCGTGCAGGATCCTGCGGGGCCAGGGGTACACTGACCTTGGCAAGTGTGCAGGATCCTGCAGAGTCCTGCAGGACCTTGCAGGATCCTGCAAAGCCCGACCGAGCCGGTTTTGGGTTGACCCGGGTCGGCCGCAGTCCTATCCCCGAAGCGGTATCAGTATTTTTTGATTTCCCCCTATGGGGCGCCGAGTGGCTCTCCCCGCCGAGTGCCACGGTCCAGCTGGCAGGTGCGGCTTGTGCGATCGGCTGCCACCTGCGAGAGGCGTTTTTTTTTCTCCAGGAGGTCGGCGAGCCCGACGCCTTCCCAGGCACGGGCGCGGGGCGCCCCCCCGCAGCGCTTGCTGCTCCCTGCTTCCTGCTTCCCTGTGTGGTGCCGAGGACGGAAAGAGCGTGTTCTACCGCTGCTGGCGGAAAACCGGGGGGGGTCACTACCGGTTCGAACCTCTCCCTCCTCCCCCCCCTCCGGAAAACCGGGGGGGGGTTTTACCGGTTCGAACCCCTCCCCCCCCCCAGTTCATCATGAAGAGGGGGGGGGGTCACTACCGGTTCGAACCCCCCCTCCCCCACTCTCGAAAACTGGGGGGGGTCACTACCGGTTCGAACCCCCCCCCTCGAAAACCGAGGGGGGGTGCGGACAGTGGTGGGGACGGTGGTGGTGGGGACAGTGGTGAGGGGACAGCGGGACAGTGGTGGGGACAGTGGGACTGTGGTGGGGACGGTAGTGGTGGGGACAGTGGTGAGGACAATGGTCGGAACAGTGGGGACAGTGGACAGGGGTGGAGACGGCGGTGGTGGGGACTGGTGTGGGGACAGTGGGAATGAGCTGGAAACAGTGGGACAGTGGAGGATACAGTGGTGGTGGGGACAGTGGTGAAGGCGATGGCGAGGACGGCAGTGGGACAATGGGACAGAGGTACAGTGGGGACAGTGGTGGGGACAGTGGGGACAGTGGTGGGAACAGTGGGACAGCTCAGTGGGACAGCGGAGGAGTCAGTGGGACAGTGGGGACAGTGGGGATAGTCGGGCAGTGGTTGGGGCCGTGGAGAAAGTGGGGAGAGTGGAACCGTGGTGGGAACAGTGGTGGGGACAGTGGGGACAGTGCGACAGTGGTGGGGGCACTGGTGGGGACAGTAGGGACGGTGGTGGAACCAGTGGGGACAGTGGTGGTGAGGACAGTGGTGCTGGGAACAACAGTGGGGGATGTGATGCGGACGGTGGTAGGGACCGGGAGTCGTTTGCTGGCGGTGAGTGGGGGGGGTGGGGGGGGTTCGAACCGGTAGTGACCCCCCCTCCGGTTTTCGAGGGGGGGGGGGGGGGTTCGAACCGGTAGTGACCCCCCCCGGTTTTCGAGGGGGAGGGGTAGGGAGGGGGGGGGGGGGTATTGCCGGGGAGGGGGTGGGGGGGGGGGGTTCAGCAGGGGGGGGGGGATTTTCGGAGGGGGGGGGGGAACCCCCCGGGCTCCGGAGGAAGAGGGGGGCAATTTTCCACAGTAAAGCGGCGGTGGATCACGCTCTCTCAAGGAAGGCTCCCGGCGATTCTAGCCGACCTGCTCGGGCCCCCGGCAGGGCTCTCCAGGGGGCCTCTGACCTCTGGGAGACCTCGGGGGCCTCCTGCGGCCTTCGCGAGCTTCTGGGCAGCCTTCCCTGTTCTGGGCAGCCCTCTTGGTTCGGATGCATCTCTTGGGAGGTCAGACTCAGCATCGCCGCTGGTATATGGTTGGTCGGGAACGCGCCCAGTTCTTTTTGCAATCCTGGCTGATCCCGCTTGGTCCGGCTTCACGTTGGGCTTCGTCTGGGCCGGTCTGGCTCAGTGGCACCTTGATCGGGCTTGGTAGCGCTCCATCCCAGGGCTCGAGTTTCATGGTGTTTTAGCGATTTCGTGGACCGTTTTCGTTCCGACTCCATTTTGCAGCAAAGGTGGAACGCAGACAGAACGAGGGATAACGAAGACAGGGAAATCGAAAATCACTGTATCTCGAGCCTTGCTCCATCCTTCCCATCAGGACCTCCCAGGAGTTGCCTCCTTGATCGTTGCTGTGCGGCGGGTGCCGCGGAGAATAATCATCTACTGGCCTTCTGCCCATCCCGTCATCCGGATTGTGATTCAGAGGCCTCTTGGATGCTCGATGGGATCTCGTGAGAAGCTTCTCGGGGTCCTCCTGGAGGCAGGTCAGAGGTTTCTGGGGGGCTGTTTGGGGGCCTCTTGGGCTATTTTTTGTTGCGCCTCTTGTGAGTCTTGTGGGTTTTGGAGCCTGGTGGGTCCGTGATGGGGCCCTCCTGGGCCCGAAAAAGTCACAGGCCACCACGCCAGGAACCCCAGGAGGCGCACGCGACAAGGCCTGGGAGTCGTGGCAATTTGGGCTCTGGGCCCCTCCTTGACTCCTCAGGACTGAGGACTGAGGCTCTGGGAAAAGACCTGGGGGACTCGCCCATTCCGTGCCCGGAGGCGCAGTGGCGGATTTTCCATTGTTGGTGGGGCCCCCGTCCGTCGATACGGGCGTCGAAAAATGGTAATTCGTTTCCACTATTGGGGGGGGGGGGGGTTCTCAAGACCTCCAGGGGTTAGCCGTCCATCCTTCCTATCGGGACCTCCCAGGAGTTGCCTCCTGATCTCAGAAGCCTCCAGCGGGGGGAGGGGGGGGGGGGCCGACTCCTGTGAGCGGTGCAGCCGCCCGCCGTCTCGGGGGGTGGCCTTCCCCCCTTCGCCCCGTTTGCCCCCCCCTACCCTGCGCGCCGCCAGAGGACGAGGTCGCAGCCGCCAGTTGCGGCGTGGGATCTGGGCGCCAAGGCGGCCGGCTACGTTCGATGTCCGTCCATGGGAGCCTTGTCGGCCACGCGCAGAGGGGGGCAGGTCGAGAGGGGAAAGGCTTCTTAGAGGCACCCCTGCTCCTTAGAAGGCGCGGGCCTTGTCTGTAGAGCTCCCTCTAAGAAGCGGCCTCCTCCTAAGAAGCCTTTCCCCCTCCCCCTACCCCCATGTGCGCGCCGCCAACCTTTGGCGGCGATATTGAAATCAGCTCTTCCTGCATGTGGACCTCATTTGGACCGCATGTAGCCCTTCCTTCTGCTCCTCCTCGCCCTTCCTGTTCCTCCTCTCCCTCCTCCTTGTCGTCTCCCTTGTGAAGGGGCGAGTCCGGTCCAAATCCGGCCTCAGTTCGGTCCAAACTGTATTCCACATTTGTCCAAATCAGGCCCAGTTCGGCAAACGCCAGGGGGGCCACGTAGGATCCCATGGAACGGACACAATTTGGACGGGGCCAGGACGACGATAAATCCGTTCCAGAGCTTTCCGGATCGCTCTTAGAGCGTTCCGGAACGCTCTGAGAAGGCCGCAGCGCCCGATACATCTTCCAGAGCCGCAGGATCTCAGAGATTCTCGAGTTATCGTCGCCCGAAGTTGTGTTCGTCCTGGCTTCGTCTGACGCCACAGCTACGCGCGAGAGTGGCCCTCCGCCGGAGGGACCTTTGGTGCGGGCCCAGGGGGGGGGGGTCCCCCGACCGTTGCATGCGAGGCGACTGCAGCGGCCCGCGCGCTCGCGTGTACAGTCAAGGCGTCGGGAGGGCCACCTGGGGGCTCGAGAGGGGCCCGGGTTCCTGGGCCGTTTCTTCCGGTCGAGGCCGGGGAAGCCATTCCTGGGCGAGGCCCGCCGTGGCCGGCAATGCCCCGGCACTCCTCATTCGGCTGTCCCTCTGGCAGTGCCGTCACGGTGGTTCCTCCCCCCCCCCCGGCGCCGCGCACCAAATGCCGCTCTCGCCTGTGATTATCGGCCCCCCTGGAAGAGGACGGCCGCTGTTTTGCAGGCTGTGTCGCAGAATCGTCTGGGGGACGTGTTTGCGGGCAGTTTTTCATCCAGGGTCCGTCTCTGACGGTCCCGGGGCCCCGAAAACGGTCCCCGGAGGCCACAAACTACGAAAAGCCGCGGGCGCCGAAAACGAACGCGTGGACGATCAGACTTGCATCGTTTTTAATAGGCAGTGCAGGGCCACCCTTTCGTGTAGCCGACAAGGGGAATTCGCAGACCAAGGGCGACCCGGACCAGCCAGACGTGAAGGACCATCCCCCTGCCTTGGTCCCCTGGCTGAACGCCCCCTCAGGCCATTGGCCTAGCCACAGCCAAGCCAACTTCTGATCTGGCTGGCCAGCCCGGCAGGCCTGGCGCGGCACCACAGCGTTTCAGCGTCTAGCCGCCTGGCCAGCTGAAGTGCCTATCTGACCCCCCCACTCGCCATGAAGGAAACGGGTCCTGAGGGAACTGGGTCCTGAGATGTTTTCGCCGTTTTTGGGCTTCAGGGCCCTCCACGGGCACCAGGACTTTCAGGAAACGGCTTAGGAGGAAGAACTGGTCCTCGGGGAAGGCTCCGGAGTCCAGGACCCGTTTCGGCCACGCGCAGAGGGGGGTAGGGGGAGAGGGGAAGGCTTCTTAGAAGCACCCTTGCTTCTTAGAAGTCTTCCCCCCTCCGTCTACCCCTTGTGCGCGCCGCCAAAGGTTTCCCACAGGACCCGTCTCCTTCATGCTAACCCTCCAAGGCAGGGGGGTGAAGGACTCTTCCCCGAAGGCAAAGACGGTGTGGTCACCGACCGTCTCTGTGGCCGCGGACCCTGTGCCGCTGGCAGCCCCCGTGAAGGATGGCACGGCGTCCCAGCCCGCCAGGGTGAATTCCGTCGGCGATGTCAACGGGAGGAAGTCGGTGCGTCAAGAAACAACAAATGGCATACGATCGGACCGAGGTAGAAGATCGAGGTCGGTTCGGGGAGGGTCTTGTAATGTTCTTCGGGTTTGTTGGATGTTCTTGTGCATCCTGGGGGAGGTTGCCCTCGAATGTTCTTCAGTTTGGCCTGCGGAGGGTCTCATGTTCTTGAAGGATGTTCTTCTGTCCTAGTCCGGCCGTGTAGGCATCAACTTTCGCAGCTCCGCGCGGATCTCTTGGATCGGCGCTGGCCCCCCCTGTCCTGGCGCGTGGAGCACGCCATGGTTGGCGCCGGAGGCGCCGCCAGGGGGGTCCAGCGCCGATCCAAGACACACGCGCGGAGTTCCGAAACTTTGTCTATGCTCTCTCGTCTTCCTGCAGGTGCGGAAGGAGGGGCCGCGCAAGTCGCAGAGGGCGCGCCAAATCTTCGCGAATGCGGACCAGATGAAGGAGCAGGTTCAGAAGGCGATCTTGGAGCCAGAGTACAACGTGAAGAACATGTACAAGGACGACGGCTGCTGGGCGGCCGTCGCGCGGAGCCCACTCTTCGACATCAGCTCCATTGTCGCGATCACCCTGAACGCACTGTGGCTCGCAGTGGAGACGGACTACAACGACGAGCCCCTGCTCGTGAACGCGGATCCCCCGTTCATCATCGTGGAGAACCTGTTCTGCACGTTCTTTGTCTGGGAGCTGATCGTCAGGTTCATGGCCTTCAAGGTAAAAGCAGACAGCATGAAGGACTCGTGGTTTCTGTTCGACTGTGTGCTCGTCTCTTTCATGGCTTTCGAGACATGGGTCCTCTCATTCCTCGTGTGGGTATCGGGCGGCGCCCTCGGTGCCAACTCCAGCTCCACGTCGGTCCTCCGCGTGGTGCGGCTCTTCCGCATGACCCGCGCCGCGCGCGTCGCCAAGCTGCTCAAGGCCGTGCCGGAGCTGATGGTGATCGGCCGCGGGATCGTGATCGTCGCCCGGACGGTGGTCGTGATCATGTGCCTCCTGGTCATGATCATCTACACCTTCGCGATCGTCTTCACCCAGCTCGCCAAGGGCACCCGCCTCGAGGACACCCTCTGCCCCGACATGCTGACCACCATGAGCACCCTGCTGCTCGGGGGCATCCTCCCGGACTTTGCGCCCACCACCCACGCCATGGCGGCCGAGGACTTCTTCTTCGCGGCGTTCTTCTTCGTGTTCATACTGCTGGCCTACGTGACCATCATGAACATGCTGATCCAGCTGCATCTTGCACCATCCCGCCTCCGTGCCCGCGCAGCGGCGCGGCGTGAAGGTTGCCCCCCCCCCCCCCCCCCCCCCCCCCCCCCCCCCCCCCCCCCCCCCCCCCCCCATCCAGGAGCCCTCGAGAGCGGCGACGCTGTCGCAGTTCACGTCCCCCGCAGGCATGGCGAGGTCTACTGTGCATCCCCCCTCAGTGCCCATGATGATGCCTCGCCCCCCAGCCCTCGAAAGTGCCGACTGTCTCGCAGTTCGCGGCCCCCCCCCCCCAGGCATGGCGAGGTCTAATCTGCATCAACGCTCGGTACCCATCATGATGCCCTGCCCCACAGCAGCCCTTGCACGTGGCGACGCTTTTCTCAGTTCGGCCCCCCCTCCCCAAGCATGGCGGGGTCTGGTCTGAATCCCCGCTTGGTACCCACCACGCCGCTCCCCCGCCAAGTAACGCTCGAAAGTGGCGCGCACCCCCCAGGCAGGGCGAGGTCCAGTCTGGATCCCCGTCCGGTACCCACGAGACCGTCTCCCCCCGCGGCCCCTGGACGTGTCGACGGTTTCGCAGTTCGCAGCCCCCCCCTGGGCACGGCGAGGTCTACTCTGAACCCACGCTCGGTGCCCACTGTCCCTCCCCCGAGCAGCCTTCGAATGTGTCGACAGTTTCGCATGTCGCAGCTCCACATGCATGGCGAGATGTGGCTTGCACCCCCTGTCGGCATCCAGTACATTGCCCTAGCCCAGCAAACCTCGAACGTGGCGACAGTTCCGCAATTCGCAGCTGAATCGCCGCTCTGTGCTCCCTACGATGTTCCCCTAGCTGCTCTCGAACGTGGCGGCCGTCTAGCAGTGCGCAGCCCCCCCCAGGCATGGTGAGGTCTAATATGAATCCCCGTGCGGTACCCACTGTGCTATTCCCTCCAGCAGCCCTCGAAAAAGTGTCGGTAGTTTCGCAGTCAGCACCCCTCAAACATGGCGGGGTCGAATCTGAATCCTTCCTCGGTACCAATTATGGTGCACTCCCCGAGCAGCCGTCGAACGTGTGTTTCGCATTTCGCACCCCTCCCCAGTCATGGCGAACATCATAGGTTGGGAAGTAGGATGCAGGACACGAGAGGAGGAGAGAGGATGAGGGAGGCGGGAAGAGAAGGAAGACGCGACCCCGATGCTCTATTCAAAACAAGAAGCCATAGAGGGTTGGGAAAAGCAGATGGGAGATTTGGCTTCTTCTGGCCTCCTGGAATGCTTCTTGACACCTTCTTGGTCTGCATGTGGGCCCTCCTGGGCCGCCTTAGGGGCCCCTCTTGGCACGTCCGACGCCCTCGAATACCGTCTTGGATGCCTCTCTGGGCCGTCACATGGGGGTCCTCTTGGGATGCTTTCGGGCCGTCACCTGGGGGTCTCTTGGGCTGTCTCTGAGGCCTGTCTTGAGGGCTTCCTGGGCCGAGCTGGGGGCCTCTTGGGGGCCGCCCTGGAGGCCTCTGGAACTGTCTTGGGCTGCCGGAAGCCCGAGCGGGCGGCTTTTCCTCCTGCACTGCGCCCTGCTCAGAGCCCTCGATGAGAGTGACGGAATCGGCCGACACCGAACGATCCCATACCCCCCTCGAGTCGTGAAAATACCGCGGCGGGAGGTTTTCTGCCGTTTTCGGCCTCAAGGGGGACTTACCGGGTCGCGGGACCGTCAAAAAAGGTTCGGGACGAAGAAAGATCCCAGGGAAGGGGTCGAGACCTTTGGTGGGGGTCAACGTTGAGGAAAACATGCGACGTCGGCGGTCTGGGAACGCCAACTTGTACCAGGGGCCTCTTGGGCCGCCTTGGGGAACTCTGGGGCTTTCTTCGAGGTATCTTGGACCAGCCTGGATGCATCTTGAGGCCATCTCGGATCGTATTGGGATGCCCCGGCGCCGTCTGGAGGCCACGCAGGCCGTGGGGTGGTCTTGTAAGGCCGCGTGCGGGGATGGGGATGGGGTCGGCCCTGGAAGGCATGAAAGAGACCTTACCAGGCTGCAGAGGTGCACTCCAACACGTCTGACTGTGCACAAGACACGGTGGCGGATAGGCGTCCTGGTCGAGGTTGTGGCAGTGGTCGCGTCGGTAGAGAAAGAGACAAACCAGGTGGCGTCAGTGAAGCGCGTGCTGCAGAAGTGGGCCCCGGAAGCGGACAATAACGGCGACAATCTGTTTGGCGTGAACGAGTTCAAGAACATGCTAAACAAAGACGGCTGCGCCAGGGATCTGAGTAACGTGGGGGTAGACGCCATCGCGCTGATCGACCACGCGGACTTCGTCTACAGGAACAAGGATGAGCTCACATTCTCTGAGTTGCTCTCAGTCGTGCTCGGGCTCCGAGGCAGGAACGAAACGAAGGTGCAAGACCTAGTGCAGCTGCGCAAGTTCCTCCAAGTTGAGATGCAACGAATCGAGGGGTCGGTGGAGAATCTCCACATCAAGCTCGTCGGGGAGTCTGGGCGTCCCGATCCCACCGAGGACGTGGTCAAACCCGTCTTGTTCGGGCGTCCCGAAGCCCCCGAGGACGTGAGGTGGGGGAGTGACCAGGCAACACCTCCGCACCTCCCGCCCCCTGAGCTCCCCTCCTGCGGCGATCTGGAGAGAATGAGCACACCTCCTCCCGACGGGCGCTGAGTAAACGGGGCACCCTGCGGCAGTCCGACGCGCGACCATGCACCGAGGGCTGGCCGAGGAACGCGCCAGCCGCCTCACTCGCTGGACGGCCGCCGACGACTGAGACGCGCGAGCAGGAGAGAGGGGCGCAGAGGGAGGGGTGCGGCGGAGAGGGGGTTGGAGGAAGGCATGGGAGAGGAAGAGGGGCGGGGGCGGAAGAGGGGGTCGGGGAAGTGCAGCCATGGGTTACGGCGCGTGGATTAGCGACGGGTCCCGCATCCATGCGTACTCGACGCGCTCCGTCGCCAAACCGGGCGGCACTGGTGCCACGTTTCGGGGGGTCTGTCCCCCGATTCCGTGGATCTCGCGCCCACGCGCCAGATCCGCAGATCCTTGATCCATGTTAGCGTTTGACCGAAGGGAAAAGTAGCCCTAACATACGACGATGCAAGGCACATGCAACATCACCAAACATCCTGACCGGAGCCCAGAACCCCATCTTCCTGCGTGATCTTTCGAGCCGGATCGATCTGTAATGGCCCGGGGGCCCGAATTTGGGCGAAATTTCCCATGGTGATACAAATTGCAACGCCAGGATGTCAGGGTAGGGGTCGGGCCAGAGGTGGGGGACGGGGGAGCAGG